AGGAGCTCGGACTAAGTACAGCGGTCTGGAGTTCGGGCTCGGTAGTGAGTTTGGACTTGCTTCCGATGTTCGCTTTGGGTGCTCTACTGTCCCGAGCTGCTTGCCTTTGCCACGTGTCGGGCGATCGCGAGGTCGGGCCAAATTTCCCTTCATCAAAACCTTTTCATGGTAAGAATGACAATAAATTTTAAACCTATTTTGTTAAATTTCATTTTTTTTTATCAACCAGACTATATATAGTGTGTGTGTGTGATTGATGAAAAAATAAATGAAAAATGAAATTTAACAAAATAGGTTTAAAATATTCAAGGCCCACACTAATAAAACACAAATCAACCATGTGGGGGATCACATTAATAACCATAAGACAAAAATTAGAAAAGCTTTTGCATTATTGGTTGCATAGAGAAAATGTAAAGGAAAATTTAATGAAACAATTAGCACCTATTTAATACTAATTAAAGGAAATTAGTTTGCTAAATCGAATAGTAAGTTCTGAAAATGAAGAAAAAAAGGTTGGAACTTCCAAATAGAAATGCAATTTAAAATTTGTAACGTTAAAAATAAAATTAATAATATGAAGAAGTACAGAGTGTCTAACAATTTCATTATTTGTTAATGGTATATTCAATAAATATAATTTACTAGGAAAGTCATAAAAATAGAAAAACATTGTATAATCATACTACATTAATTTCATTTTTCAAAGAAGCACTATGCCGGCATAGGTTTATAGAACCGCTAACATAGGTTTTTATTGGCGGATGGCCAATGGCGAATAACCATAAGTTTTCAGAACACTACTGGTGAAAATCACAACCCGCCGGCATAAAGCTTGTTTGAAGAATGAAAATAAGCAAATGAGGAGCACGATTATTTTTAATTCTGTAGGTTCCCTCAATTTATGTATCATATACCCTTTTTAGTTTTTTCATTTTATAATACTCTCTTTAATTTTTTCATGGCAAGAATTTTGTAACCAAACGGTCTCATGTTATTTATTTTTGCCAATTAATTGAGATAATAAACTAATAACAACAAAATAAACATGCCCTAATTTCTACTAAATGTAATATCTTATTCAATATAGACTTCTATTCCGATAATCTTTCTGCAATCCCACTTCGAACCAGACCTACTTGATGGAACTTAAAATTATGAATGAACGAATCAACCTAATAGATTAGAAGAAGTCATGGAACCATGAAGATTAGAACCCATGATTTAATGGGTTCGGGTGCAGGCTCTAATTAAAAGAGAGATTGTTTTGACCATCACTACACTAATTAAACAACTAATTAATCTAATACCCAGCTGCAACAATTCTGTCAGGTTTAATTAATCTTGGCTAGAAAATTTCTTAGATGGGAATAAATGGTGCTCGTAATCCTCTCTAGCTTACATATATTATAAGAGCATTTCAGCCATTCCCAACCAAATTGAAACACAGAAAACATCTCCATGACAGAAGAGATTGATTGTATTTCATGAATTATGAAATTGAGGCAGGCGTATGTATCATGAAAAACATAAAAAATATAAGAAAATGTAAGACAATTGATCTCGTCTGATATACAGCTTATATTGGTTTGGTTTTCACAAAGTTCTTCAGATGTTTTGTTCTCAGTCTCGATCGAGGGGGAGGGAACAGATGATATCACTTCATGGTGATATCTCTTTTTTTCCAGCTAATGGATTCTTCTCAATCTTCACTCCCAATTTTCTGTCTTCATTTTTGGCCCAAAATTGTAGAAAACTTTCCTCGATCTCATCAGTTGGGACCCCAGCAGCTTAGGTACATAACTTTTCTGAGAGACTCTTCAGATTGCTTCATCTGCTGCTCGTTTTGCATCGCCTTGTTAGTGGCTATCACCGAGGAAGAAGAAGAGAGGATCCCCTTGGACTGAGAGAATGAGCCCAGATTGTTCTTGGCTTGGTGGTGTAACGATCTCAGAGCGTGATTCCACCTACAGATGCCCTGATCTTTCATTGCTTCAACAGCTCCAACGCTTGCTGCAGCAATCCATGCCCTACTTGTAGAACTCATCTTTGATTTTCTCTTTATCTTGGATTTCARCAAGAATAAGAATATAAGAAAGCTGGTTGATCTGAGTTTGGATTAATTCCAGCAAGAGATCAGATGTTGTATATATAGGCACCAAAGGTAAAGGGCATGACCTCACGAAATCTTGGAGCTGTTAAGAAAAACCAGAGGCGGTTTTACCAGTGGTTTGGAAAGAGGCCACTGGTTTGGATGGAAGGTCTATCTTTTGGACACGCAAAGGAATAACCAACTGGCAGTAGTGGGTCTTTCAATCGGGACTCACGGGGACATAAAGGATCAGGTGGGCTCCAGAGAGAGAGATTTAGATGGGTGAAGAATAGCAGATAAAGCTAAATTCTTCAGTAATCCAATTTTGTTCACTAGGATGGAAGCCACTCATTACTCAACGTCCATGCAAATCCAATCCAATAGGAAAGCTTAAGGCCCTATTGGCATTTTGGTAAGTTATTTATTCCGGTAAATGTAATTATTTGAGTAATTAGTTTTTTCTGGGAAACACTTATTCATGTAAGTGTATTTATTTATGTTCTTTTATTTTTCAAGTAAAAAAGGAAATGATCATTTTAATCATAATAATTTATTATTAAAATGGGCATTTTTGTCTCATTCAAGTGTTGAAAATTTTCTCGCCAAGTAAGAAAGTTATTTACTCACCTAGGAGATGAGTATCACTTACTTAAATAAATGATACCCAAGAAAACAAAATTTTCATAATTCCCACATTAATCTAAAAAAAGAACATGGGGTTCTTAGTCAATTCCTTCCTCTCAAAATCCAAAAAAGAATGCCCCCTTAAATATAAAGTATGGGAATTAGTTATTCTGATTTAGGAACATCCTCTTTTGATAAACCAATAATATTAATAACACTAATTGTAATAAAGAAAGATAAATTAATCCTTCCCATACTCATACTCATTCTACCGTTATATAAACTAAGAGTCAGTTTAGGAGAAAGAGAGAAAGTAAATGTGCGCCCAAATCAACAGACTCCAAGAGAAGTAATTAAACTAATAACAAAGTGATCTGAAAAGTATCAAGAATCTATTTCCATTTGTATAATGAATGAGTGGAATGTCTTTTATATTTTCTTTTAGGTTTTGATGAACATATATCTTAAATATTGATATATTTCCATTTGTATAATGGAAATATTGATTATATCACTTTACCTGATACGAAATCTCACAATTAGATCCAAGTTTTGTCGTTTATATTCTTTTTTCTTGTTAACTATAAATGGTATCTTATCAAATGGGTCAAGTGGATGGAGAAAAAAGTTCCATTTCATATTTTTCTAGCTCCACTTGTGCATGATGTCGACAAGGCACTCAAATTGCAAGCAAGAGCCAAGACTCAAGAGGCACAAGGCCCCCACTATACGTCTCAAAAAATTTAAAACCTCACCTAGAGTTGGTCAGTAGTTTTGTGTACAGGGGATCTCGGTCTGGTCCAATCTAGGCCCTCTTTTAACATCTGATTCACAAAGGAAGCAAGATGAGAATAGTTTTCTGATTTTAAATCAGATCATCATCAGTCTAGGTCCACCTTTTTTTTTTTTATTTTTTTTTATCATCATCCAAGTCTTATCCCAATTATATATGGGGTCAGCTACATGAATCCTGTTTCACTACTTCTTACTATATTGTTTTTGTCTATTCTACCCCTTTTAGCCCCTTCAATTAGGCTCAGTTTGAAAAGAGTGCAAATACAAATATGTACAATACAAATACATACAAGATAATACAAAATACAAGATTTTACACTCTACATATTTGTATTTATACTCCTTCCAAACTGAGCCTTGATAACAAATCACTTCTTCTTATGAATATTGTGTCAGGTCCTTTTATGCATGCATTGATTTTTTATCAGATCCTCTTATTTTTAACTCGAACCCCCAACACCTCTTGCATTTTCCTAGAAATATATAGGGTCTGTTTGATTTGTAGTTGGAAGCCGAATCATGCTTCACCTATATATGTCACGTTGGCCTTAATGCATGAAATACTTTTACTAGCTTTTTGGTGCTTGTTAGGAGATGATTTCCATTCACATCAGCACTGCATCTTTAAACAACTTTACTCAATTTGGGATGTGTTAGGAAACGGAACTTTCCCATTTATGAGCAAATTAAGGTTTTTTATGTAAACTGTATGTTTATAATTAACTATCTAACTAGCAATGACCCATTTGATGGCTGTTTAAAAATGCATTTTTAAGAAAAAACATGAAGTAACAATGATTTGCCACAGTTTTTATATGTTTCTACTTTTTTACATATAAAATAGTAAAAAAAATATTTGTTTTATAGATATTGAGTTTTAAACTTATTCCTTTTTACATAGCTTATATATCTATACTACTTATAAAAGTGCGAATAAAATCTGATTTTCTAAAATTTTCATTGGACATAAATTATCCCTTAATCAATGAATTTTTTTGGGGACAAAAGTGTACTTTAACAAAACATATAACTAGTCCATTAATCAGCCATTAAGTGACATTTGAAAAGTCAAAAATAACCTTTGAATGGCATCTAATTCTCCTTATGAACCATCCAAACATTGACAAAAAGCTGACCAGTCCCAAATCTTAGCCTCTTCTATTCAAAAAAGTTGGTGATTGTTTAGAAAAATCTAGAATTTGGGATTGTTCATTTTATTGTCAATGTTTGGATGCTTGATAAAGAGAATTAGATACCATTCAAAGCGCATTTTTGACTTTTCAAATGTCACTTAATGGCTGATTAACTGACTGATTAACAGTAGGTGTTGGATTGTCACATTTTGAAAGTTCGGATACTAAATTGTCATGTTTCGAAAGTTTAGGTACTGGATTGTCGCATTTTAAAGTTTGGGGACCAAATTGCCACTCGAGCCAAAGTACAAGGTACTGATCAGGAATTTTCCCTAAAAAATGTAGAAAATTTTAGAAATATATCATTTACGATCATCATCATAAAAAATTTCCAAATGCAAAGCACATGCACACTTACTAGTATTATGAGAAATACATAAATCAATTAATTAGCATGAGAACCAATTGATGGTTGTTCAGTTAATTGTGGAAGAGACTTGGGACCAAATCCCGCTATCACTAGGGACGGGGGTTAAGGATTTGGGGGTGGAATGCCCCCTCCTTTGTGTAGCCCTATAATGCCCAAAAAATGTACTTAGCATGAGATAAATAACAAAGTTAAAAACAATTTTAAAATTGAACTAACAAAGATGACCAAAGGTTAGGGGTATCAATTGGGCTGGATTTGGTCCAATCCGATCCAATCCAATGTAAGTCCATTACAAATGGACCAGGTCCAGTCCAATCCAATAAATAATTTGGACCATTTTGGATCAGTGCAATTTAACCGTCCACTCTGTTCAAGTTTGTTTTAATTTAGATTATTTCTAACCCAAACCTGGTCCATTGACACCTATATTCTTATCTTCTATCAATGGACCATATATTGGCTCAATCCAACCCAATCCAATATAAATTCTTTATGGATGGACCAGGTCCAATCCAATCCAATAAATACTTTGTATCATTAAGTCTAGATTGGTCCAATTCAATATGCCTTATTGGTCCATCCAATTCATTCAAATTGATTTTGGTTAATTTGGATGGGGTCCAATCCAAAACCAGTCCATTGACACCCTAACCAAAGGTT